CTTTGGCCTGCACCGTCCCTAGCTGCTGCAGACATTTAAGGAGTAAACCACCAGATAGTAGCTCTCTGTATCTCCCTCTCCCTCTCCCTCTCCCTCTCCCTCTCCCTCTCCCTCTCCCTCTCCCTCTCCCTCTCCCTCTCCCTCTCCCTCTCCCTCTCCCTCTCCCTCTCCCTCTCCCTCTCCCTTTCAGATAAATAAAATATATGAATAAACTTTTTATAAAAGATTTATTTTATTTATTTGGACGGCAAAGTTATAGAGAGGGGTAGAGTCAGAAAGGTCTTCTATCTGCTGGTTTACTCCCCAGTTGGCCACAGTGGCCAGAGCTGAGCCGCTCTGAAGCCAAGAACCAAGAGCTTCCTCCAGGTCTCCCACATGGGTGCAGGGGCCTGAGGACTTGAGCCATCTTCTGCTGCATTCCCAGGCAATAGAAGGGAGCTGGATCAGAAGTGGAGCAGCCGGGACCGAACTGGCACCCACATGGGATGCCGGTGCTGCAGGCCAGGACTTTAACCCACTGTGCCACATTATTGGCCTCAATGAACACTTTTTTAAAAAAGAACTCCATCTGATCGTGACTTGAGTGCATTTATCATTACATCTCATTTCCCTTTTTAATTTATTGTATCCTAACTATGCCCCAGGCACTGTGATAGCTTTGCTTTCATTCGTGCTTTCTCTTTGAATGTAGCAGACTTGGGTCTTGTCCATGGGCCGTGGTGGTGTGCATAACTCCTTGAGGTCAGGAAAGACCTGTGTGTTCGCTCATCACCTGGACTCCTGAGTGCCCACTTTAGGGCTTGCACATCCACAGAATCCACCGGATGGGAGCCCACAGCTACCCCTTAGAGCAGTTGATTTCATCCTCAGCTCGCAAAGAAGGAAGCTGGACTCACAGAGGAGTGTGTGTCCAAATGTCGCGAAGGACCATTTACCTTATTTACACAAGAGGCCTGTGAGCTGTCAGAGCATGCTCTGTGAATCCCCTGGTTGGTTCTCACCAACCACGCCAGGAGGTCGTACCTGCTCTACTGTCAGTGTAGAAGCTGAGAAGGAAAAAAGAAGCCATTCCTTCTACCTCAGGGGCGGGGGGCAGGGAGTGAGGTATTTGAAAAACAAAAAAAATAGGCCACATGCTGAAGTGGCATCATGGGGTTTTGCCACCAGGATCGGTGGCCTCTTCCACTCAGCCAGACAGGTCCTCTGCGGGGGAGAACCCGAGTACTCACAGGTTATGCACCCCATAAACATCCAGGTCACCCTGTTCAGGGCCCTCCCATTAAAATGTGTGAGAGCTCACAGCCCAGTTTGTTGAGGCTGGCAGAGGGATGCTCAGCCACCTGCGGCTTGAGCTTTGTGCTGGGAAACCACATCTGGTGTACACTTGGCAAGGCCCCGGGCTCTGGGATGGTACACCCACCGTCTCCACATGCAGAGTAACGCCACGCATCAGGGAACCAGTGTCGAGGATCTCGGTTCATCACGCATATATTCAGGGTCTGGCTTGGATGGAACAGAAGAGAAGCAGCGGGGCCAGAAATGGGGGGAGGGGTCTTCTGGAAGAACCAGAGTTGTCCCCGCAGGGAAGCCGACTGTGGGGTATAGCTGGTCCCTGCCTGTTCTGAGGCTCCATCTCCTTTTCTGCAAACCACCCATCTTGCCATGGTGTCCCAGCAAGCGAAAAGCCCTCGGTGCCCACGTGGCCCTGTATGATGCCCTTGTACAGCTGGGTCTCAGTGTCCCCGCCTCCAGGAGAGATAATAGCCAGGAGTTCTTGCAAGGTTGTGGTGATAAATACATGAGAAATTGTATGCAAAGAGTGCTTTCTAAATGGTACAATCTGATAGAAGCACTGGCAAAGCCAAAACTGGCTTTCCCAGACATGACCTCATTTGATCCCTGAAGATTGGGCCAGTGGAAATTGTGCCCAACTTAGGGAAATGGAGAGAGAGGCTCAGTGAATTGTGTGACTTACAGCCTACAGATAGCTTAGCCGATAAGTTAAGCCACGAGTAGATCCTAGATCTTTCTTGTCCTGAGATCCGTAACTTTTTAATCCATTGCACATAAAAAGACAGACATAAGTAACAACTCTGAATTCTTTGGCTAATCTTTGGGATTCCACCATCAGTTTGTAGTGTATTTGGACTGTGGCCTCCTAGAAAGCTGGCGAGGGCAGAGATTCTACCTAATTGACCTCTGCATTTCTTTTTCTTTTTTTAAAGATTCAGTTTAATTTTTTTTGAAAGGCAGAGTGACAGAAGCAGGGAGAAGTAGAAATATGTTCCTTCTACTGGTTCATTTGGTTCACTCCACAAATGGCTACTGTGGCTCAGGCTATACCAGGCCAAAGCCAGGAGCCAGGAACTCCATCAGTAGGTCCCAGGGGCCCAATTACTCTGGCCGTCCCCCAGTGCTTTCTCGGGCATGTTAGCAGGAGCGGGATTGGAAATGGAGCAGCCAGGACTGAAGCACTCTGACGTGGGATACAGGCCTTTCCAGTGGTGGCTGCACCGACTGTGCCGCATCGCCGGCCCCTGACCTCTGTCCTTCCAGCACCAGGCACAGTCTCTGACATGCAGCAGACACATGCGGAAGATTAGCTGAAGAACAAATGACTCTTCAGGGAGTGGACACAGCTACATCAGACACCGAGTGCCCCCTGCAGGGGTGCTGACAGCATCCCCACTGCACAAACACAGGGAGGCGGGGCAGCTGAGTAGCTCACAGAGCTGACAGACCCGAGATTTGGAATCACATCTGGTTCCGAGGCTCGCTGTCTCATGTCCATGTTAATCAAGAAAATGGGGTGCCTGTTAGCTGTGCCCCAAAGCCGGACCGGGAAGTGTGGAGAGCAGCCTGCCTCTTGTTTGTGTCCCTGCTGAACTCTCGCTGCCCTGCTGCCTGAAAACCCAGCAGCGAGGGCCCCTCCTGGTTCACACCTCAGTGAATAGCAGTGCTGTGTGCTGTTTACTTTCACACCATAAACTGCCACCTGCAGAAAGCGCTGAGTAAACCAACAAATTCTGAGCGAGCTGATCTCTCCTGGGGCTCTCGGGGTAGAGAAAGCTCCAGCCCTGAGCCCAGGCCCAGCCTCCAGAGCGACCCGGAGGTCAGTGCCCTCCCTGTGCAGTGCAGAGCGGTGGGGCTTAGGGAGGCGGGGGACCTGGAGGTTGGCATTCCTTGCCTTAAGGAAAGCCCTAGACACTCTCTACGTCAGCGAAGAGAAGGTGCTTGAGCCAAGTGGCGGAGGGCAGGTGATGCAGTGACACTTGGCCCCACAGCCCTGCCTTCAGTGCTGCGAGAAACTGACAGATGGGCCTGGATGGACTCGCACCCAGGCTCAGCACGGGCTGTGCGTGCGTTGTCTTCCACCCTCGGGTACCTAGAGCCCTCGGCACATACCGATCAGCCAGCTCACCTTAATTAAGGGTCTGTTCTGTGCTGGGGCATATGCCAAGGACGAGGGCTAGAGGAGGTTCTGCGGAATGAGACCAGCTCAGGTTATCCCTTGCTTGAAGCTGGGACAGACACAGAAACAGAAAAACCCCCATGACGTAATATGGGAAGGAAGGAAGCAGGCGCATGACCATGGGTGAACCCTAGCAGACTTCTCAGAAGAGGAGCCACCTTTGACTAGAGCCTCACAGGGGTAGATCCTCATGCTGCCACAGCTGGCCACACTCCCCAGACCACGAACTGTGGCTCCATGAAGTCACACAGCTCATAAGTTCCCAAGCTGAGCATAGAACCCAGGACCCCGGCTCCACGTCAGAGATATCTGCCCACATATTTGAGCTGCTGCCTCCTCCCCTGGGCAGCTGAGAAATCGGTTGTATTATTGCATGTAGCATGTACCTCCCTTTTGAGGAAGTGTGCTTATCTGGGTGTGTTGCCAAGGAACTCACTGTAAATGATGACTTTTCCTACTGTTTGTAAATTCCCAACCATTTCATCCACTGTCTTCCAGACTGACAGGGGAGGTCTAAACCACCCGGATCTAATTGTGTTTCCTTTCCTTTTTTCCTCCAACACCCCTCTCCCCTCCCCACCCCACCCCCCAAGTAGCTGGAATGCTGTCTGCTTCTAAACCAGGAGAGCAGCTTCGGAGGGAGTAATAGGCCAATGCAACGTTAACGGGTGCCAGTTAATTTAGCTTGAATGAAATTAACGATGTTGGGATTTTTCATATGACTCTGAAGACCGCTGGGCCACGCGGCTTAAGAACCGAGTCAGGATTTGTGTTGCTGTCCTGGCTATCAGCGGCTGAGGCCACGGCGGCCGCTCAGCCCCTAGCAGGTGCCGTGTGGCACCTTCCTAGCCCCCGCCTGCAGAGAGCGTGAAGCAATTGCTGGCTTGTGAACCGGGTGCTGTGTGTTCTGCGGCCTTTGTGAGGAGCTGGGCAGCTCCGCTCTGGCTGTGGCATGTTCCCTACTCCCCAGCTGTTTGCTTTGGAACTGACAGCGCGTTGAGATGGTGTTTAGCGTGAGGAAGCAATGAGCCGGAGCATTGAGAATAACCCGGCGAAAGCGTAGTGCGAGCTGCAGGTTTGGGACAACAAGCCAGCGAGTACCCCCAGGAGGAGGGTCCGGCCTGTCTGTCACCTCCACCTCAGTTTGAGTCAAGACTGTCAAGATGCGCAGACCCCAGCCAGACCCACAAGCACGCCAGTTGGCGATGGGGACCCATCCTCACTCTGTTTTCACACATAACCGCTTTTTAATTAAATTTGACTTCCTCTCCTCTGCTCAGAAGGCCTATCCCCTTTGGAAGCGACAAGTGCAGAAGTGCGGACAGGCTGGCGACAGCGACAAGCAAACAGAGCAGAGCTCTCCACTCCCTTCTGTTTGGCCTGTCCTTCACTGAAGGCCGTCGTCCGCCGAGATCGGTCTCCCAAGCTCCTGAAAGCCTGACCTCCATAGGAAGCCAAGTGTGACCCTGTCCCTGACAGTGACGTATGCTCAGTGCTTGTTTTCTCTCTCTGCCCTCCCTCCCCACAGAGATCTGTGCTGCCGACTGCGGCGGCCACGGCGTCTGCGTCGGGGGCACCTGCCGCTGCGAGGATGGCTGGATGGGGGCGGCGTGCGACCAGCGGGCCTGCCACCCACGCTGCACGGAGCACGGGACCTGCCGCGACGGCAAGTGCGAGTGCAGCCCCGGCTGGAACGGCGAGCACTGCACCATCGGTATGGCGGGCCGACGTCCCAGGGCCCCCACTGCATGTGGCCATGCAGCCCCAAGTCCTTTTATCTGGCCACATGAGGACTGGCTTCTCCTGGTTAGCCGTGGCGTTCAAACTCACAATTGGGCGTTTTCAAACTTATTCCTCCCGATTTGCATCTCCCAGGTGCCAGCTGGCAGATAGCCTGGCTTGCTTATGTAGCACGTTAGGGTGCCCCCTCCTGGCTCCGTGCAGTTAGCTCTCTGGTAAGGAGCTGTGCGTGCAGGAAGGGGCTCAACTTCCTCACCCCTAAGACAGGAATGATCACATACGGAGAGCCTAGTGCAGGCTGGCCCCTAGTGGCGTGGTCCGTACAGGTAGCTATGGTTAGCACTCCCTTACCCGGCTGGGATATTTCTGGAGGAGCCCTGAGATCTCCACTCCCACTGACCTCCTGGGCCAGAGCTCCCAAAAGACCAGAATCCTGGGGAATGCTGCCTCCCCCCCCACCAACTCCAAGGCCCCACCCACCTTCAGCTGCGGGGCCTGGGCTCCCTCCCTGTCTGCATGTGTCTCCTTGTGCCTTTCTCGCGGGGGTGCCTCCCCAGCAGCCCCTGCTGAAGCAGCGCTGTTGGCAGCTTTAAAAACAAGCTGATCACTTTGTTCCCTTCTTTTGCCTTTCCTGCTGGTTTTGTTGATTTTAAACACAGCCAGACGTTTTGCTTGGTTTATTATCCTGGAATGAACACTCCCCAAAAGCTCTTTATTGAATCAACTGGCTTGTGTATGTATAATTTTTAACTTCTCCTTCCATTTCCTTTTTTTTTTTTTTTTTTTAAGGAGAGGTCTGTGATCAGATGGTGAGCACATGGCCGTAGAAAGCAGGGAGAAAGCAGGGATCTGGGTGCTGCTGCAGCTCAGCAAGCAGCCTCCTAGGTCTTGTAGGAACTGGAAGACAAGCCCCAAAGCTTTGGAGGGACAAGGAAGTTTGAAGCAAGCAGAGCTGCCTCTTATGTGTCATGAGGTGTTTTCAGTCCTCATTCTTGTCTTGCAGCCTGCCATTAGTTTATATCCTGGGTGCCAGCGAAACCTGCAGTGTGGCTGGGTCTAGCAGTGGCTGTGGAACACCTGGTGATGATTGACATTACTAATGACAGTGGCTTCCGGTCCCTGAGTCTTTGCAATCTGCCAGGCACCTTCCGCTGCATCTCCCAGCAGTCACCCCATGACAGGCTCTGAGCTATTTCCTGTCTTTCAGGGACCTGAGGCTTAAGGTCATGCATGCTGTAAAGACGTTGAACAGGAAGTTGAGGTTCCACTTTCTCTTTGCCTGCTGCTTGCTCTTAAGCCTCACCCAGCAAAGGCCAGTTCTTCGACCAAGGCATCGGCTCGTGTCCTCCCCCAGAGACTGTGTCTTGTTCCCGTGATCACACTCAGAAGTCCTCGCCTACTTGGCCCTGGCCCTCGCCCTCCCTACGGCAGAACACGCCCCGCGGTCACTGCGCCTGCCTCACGGCTGCTTTACGTCAGTGTGATTGTCCCCAAATCCCCTAGTGAGACCTGGCCCAGAGAGCCGAGGCACCCTCTCCTTTCAGCTCTGCTTTCCCTCTCCGCTTTGCTTTTCCGCATGACCGAGAGTGGACTGACCTTTCAACCTCCCAGCCCAGAAGGTGATCCATCTCTCATTTGGAAAAACCCAGATCCCCAGAGAGTGTGTTCTGTTTCCTATTACTTGTTCCCAGAGTCCTTAGCTTGCCTTACCAACTTCCAAAGAGTGTGTAGGCATCAGGCTTTTGTAAGATAAAAGTGCCTCCTCTAAGCCCAGTGACCAGAGTTCAGGGAGATTATCCATGGCCCAGTCCCAGGTGACACCCATGAGGGCCCGGGGGCAGGCCACACTCTGACTTGCATCCCATGCTTGCTCACCGGCCCGGCTCTCAGCAGGTTTGTTTCACTACAACGCCAAGAAACCCACATGACCTCTCCTGCACACGCTGTGGTCATCAAGAACAGAGTCCCCCTTGCAGGTGCACACGTTCCGTCCGTGCAGGTTAGAAATGTGTCAGGGCCAGTGTGCACGCTGTGAGAGGAGGGGTAAGAGTCCTAGCACAAAAAAAAAAAAAAAAAAAAAAAAAAAAAAAAAGCCACAGGAGAAGCAGCGGACAGTCATCGTGGCTCAGATGAAAGGACTTTGGCCTGGCATTCCATCCGTGTCATTGTGTCATAAGCATTTTCTCTGTGCCTGTCTCATTCCCCTGCATGCGTCCCTTCTCCCTGTGGGTCGCTGCTCGTGGCCAGCTGCATCCTCGTGGGAAACCCAGCCCCCTGAGCTGAAGGAGGCTGCAGTAACCTCGTAGGACACAGAAGGGCCAGGGCAGGAGGGCTGCCAATTAGAGGAACCAGGGTGGGTGCCTTCTTTTCTTGTTAGGAGACATGAGAAGGGGGCATTTTCTTACATTTCCGAGGAACTTTGCTCCTGGTGAGGGTCATTTAGTAGAAAACTGCTGATGTGAAAAGTTAGTTACATTTTCTCCTGTTATCAGATTGCATTATCACACAATGGGTCCCTATCCTGTGGGGCTTAGAGCCTCTGCAGCTACAGTGTGGTTGCTCCCCATACCAGAGAAAGAGCTGGTGTCCATGGCATTGATTCAGAGAATTCCATGAAAGGGAGGCAGAAGAGAGGACAGCCTGTTTATTTACACACCGCTGCCCTCCAGAAAGAGAGAGGAATGACTTGGTCACCCTACAGCAGGAATTAAGAATTTAAAGAATATGAGAAATCGGGCTCCTTATGGCCAACCCTGCAGGGTAAGATTTTTACCTTGCCCAGAGCGGTGTTGTAGCCGGAATTAAACGTCTCCTCTTAGAGGCTCTGGCCCACCTTACCTTTTATGGAAGCTACTCATTTCTCTCTAAAAAGGTTGGTTTTCAAAATGAAAGGGAACTTGACAGTGGTACCCTCTGTAATGATAGTATTTTTGTCAAATAGTGAGCATTCTACCCATTGAATCCACAGTCCTTACATGAGGGATTACCTGTCTCTTTGTGTATTGAAGGAAAGTATTTGGGGAGAGCACTGTGGAGAGAGCACGTGGCTGAGTGGGGCCCCAGTTTCTCTTGAATCACAGAATAGGGTGGCTGGAGGATGCCCCTTGAAATGACGTAATTCCAGCCCCCTCCTGCACTGCCCACGGTGTTGCACACCCATCAGCTCAAAACGGACTCACCTCCTAAAACTATCCCATAAAGAAAAGGGGGTTCTTCGTTCTTGCTCTCATTTCTCTGACACTAATAGCTCCACTTGCATAAAGAGAACCCAGTTTTCCTAGTCCTTCTAGAAGTCAAGGTCAGGTGGATTGATTGGGATGTCCTCTCCTGTGTGTGGTCAGCACAGTGCCAGCAAAAGCAGGTTTTTGGATGTCTTTTCCAGAAATGCTATGGGCCCCTTAACTGTGGGACTTGACCTCTGATTTCCTTTGAGAATGCTGAGAGTCATAGTTACATGTAAGAAGATGTCTGATTTTTTTTCCTGCTTCTTTGGAAACACACTAACATTTGGATCAATTCTACGATGGTTATTTTATTTTCACCTCAGTGCCCCCTGTCTACAAAGCCTCAAAACACGTGTGGAAAATGCCAACTTCTAGATTACATTTGTAAAATTCCAACCTTGACTCCAAAGCTGTGATCGTTCAAGATGCCAGATATGCAGAATTCCTTACTAAATTTCAGGAGAGCTGTCCAATCATATAAATTCCGATTCTCGCACCAAAGCCTCCTCTGGGAGTAAAGATGAGAATCACACTCTGGTGATGCAGTTACTCAAGTGAGCAAACCCAGACTTCACGATGGAGAGACATCGTCAAGAGAAGCCACAGAGCCTTCTGGAGTCCTCTGTCTCCCTCTGAACAGCTGCCCTCAGGTTTCTGTTCTGTGATCAGATAGGCCTCAGCTGAGAGCTCGGGTCACACAGGAGGCCTCAGCACTGCGTGGAAACCCATGCTTAGCCCTCCTCAGAAGCCAAGTCCTCTCACAGCAGGACCTGGGATGTGACAGCAAATACCGACAAAGGGGAAGAGGGACTATGGGAGCCACAGCATGCTTTGCCGATGGTTCCCGGAGACTTCAGCCCACCCACGGCTTAGCTGGGAACTGCAGGATAGCACTTGTTCTGTGTGAGTTTGTCTTGGGGTGAGTACCATGGACTACTTATTCACCAGCCGTTCATGCAGAGAGAGATCATAGAGCATCTCTGCGGGGAATTTTTCATCCATCTGAAAGAAGTGCACCTGCTCCCATGAGCCTTGGCTAATCTGGCCCACCATGGACCAGTGATGCAACCGCGAGAGTTGCCGTGAACTCCTTGCTGTAGTCTCTGTCACCTTTGACAGGAGGCCCATGATGCTGCTTGAGGTTATGCTAAGAGAAGCTTTTTGGAAACCTCAAGGAAAGATGTTTTCATGTTGGTTGGTCACAGAAGCACCAAAGAGACTATGACCTCGCAGATCAACTCCATGCCAAAGGCTCGGAGTCTGCACCCTCAATAACTAGATCCGCCATTGTCTTCCACTTCTTGCACTGTCACAGGAACATGAGAGGACTTCACAGTTTCTCAGAAAAGTAAAAGATAATTTCATTTGGGTTTAAAAAGTATATTGAAGTCCACACATAGTTGTCCTCATGGTACTCACTGACCATGAATTTCTTGATGAGCCCTCATATAGTAGGAGCATAAGAAACATTTATGGAATGTCGAAAGAGTTAGTGTAGGAGCCGGCACTGTAGTGTAGTAGGCTAAGCCTCCACCTGTGGCACTGGCTTCCCATCTGGGCACCAACAGCCCATATGGGTGCTGGTTTGAGTCCCAGGTGCTCTTCTTCTCATATAGCTCTCTGCTATAGCCTAGGATAGCAGTGGAAGATGGCCCAAGTCCTTGGACCCCTGCACCCATGTGGGAGACATGAAGGAAGCTCCTCACTTTGGATCGGCACAGCTCCAGCCATTGCAGCCATCTGTGGAGTGAACCAGCAGATGGAAGACCTTTTTCTCTGTCTCTCCCTCTCTATGTCTGTAACTCTGCCTCTCAAATAAATAAATAAAATCTTTAAAACAAAACAAAAAAAGAGCTAGTGTGGCCTGAGAGGCAAGATGACTTTACTGTTACTCTCTTCATCCTGAAGTCCTGGAGAAAGATTAAGGAATTTTGTGAAGTGCTAGATCCACCTTCTATCCTGCAACATCATGGATTTTACATCATCTTTACTAATGTTGGTACTTGAAAATCGCTGATTTTTAAAAGATTTTAACAGAGAACATATGTGACAAGATCTTCGGACAGTAAAAGTAACAGCTGTATGACATCGGCATATGCCTTTTATAAATGAATGGCATTGGCCTTCAAAGACCAGGTCATCACTTCCACTTTCAGTAACAGACAAGGCAGCTGTGTTTCCGAGAAGATCATGGACTTGGTTGATAAACAGTTTCTGGATTCACACTGTGGCTTGAGGTCTCTTTGTGGCAAAGGAATCCCTTTTGCGTTGTGGGGTCAGGACTTGAAGTTTGGAATGTCCACACTTGGCTTGCAGAAACACACAGTGTTGATCGCAACCTGCCCCAGTCACTTCTACTGGCTTCTCTGCCTTCCTGCAGTCTGCAAAAATGAATAAGCATTTTAAAGGTATTGAAACATATTTGCATTTAATAGAGCTCTTTATTACTGTATGGTTTCTGAAAATTAAATGGCATTACAAGAGAAAGAGGCCTCTGACGCCAGCCCTTGGGTTTGAGGAGAATATCCTACAGAGTGGATGTAATCTTCATTAACCACAGAGCCATGATGCTACCATTACTTTTGGAGACAATCAGGATAGGTTTCATCATCAGAGGACAGCCCTCCCCCAACACACACACACACACGCATACACACACGTGCACACACACGCACACACTCCGCTGCAGCGGTAAGGCCATTTGAATCCCAATCTTGGTATCTCATCCAGCCTGACCACGCCCAGAAGACCAGTCTAGGCTCATTCTACCTCTTCTGTAGCTGGGTTCAGAGTTATCCTAAGAACATCCGGTCAAGACCCTCCCCACAAAACTCAGCAGATCTGAAAGCTAAGAAAACTCCCTGCTCCAGGAGGTCTATCTTCCTGCTCTTTGATGCCATAGCCTGAGAGAGGAAGTCAAAGACACAGTAGACCACTTTGCAGTAAGTTTGAACAAGTTTGACCAAGACTAAAGGAACAGATGAACCAAGGATTGAGACAGACAGTCTTTCCCGTAAGCCGGAGGTATTTCCTAGGCTGTTGATCCCTGTAGCTTTCTGTGTTTGGCATTCCACACATTATTTCTTCATTCCTGCTTAATAAGCCACTCTCCTGCGTGCTCCCGTCTCATATCCTGCTATCTCCTGGATGCCCAGCATCTCTGAGAATGAAGGGAAGCAGGCAGGTCCCGTTACAATCTCTTCTTCCCAGTTTTCCACTTGGGTGTGCAGCCTCCAGGAGCATATTTCGCCTTGAAACAGAGACCAGATGGACACCTGAACTAAGAAGCCAGCCTCTCACCCACCAGTCTTTTGAGGCAAATACACATTGATGGACAGCCATGGCACTGTCCTCCCCAGAGGACTGCAAATATAAAATTCATTTTTTTTGATGAAGAGAGCAAGAATGTTCGTACCGTCTATGGAACCCCAGGGCTTCCAGATCAGGCCGTACCACTGGATGAAACAGCTGAGGATGAGGTACAGCCTGGGCGCAGAGCATCAGGTCCTGTCTGGCCTTTGTGAGAACACACTAGAGAGAGGTCTAGAGCCACAGGGAAAGGGAGCCGCCTCAAACACAGTGGGGAAGGGCAAGTGGTGGCCCCAGTTTGGGCTGGGAATGAAGAGGCTGCCTTGCTCTCGGCACACAACCAGGCACCCCCGTACCCACACGGTGGGGGCTGCTTCAGAGCAGCATTCGAAGGACCCGTCCTCACAAACAAGCAGTAACTTGCATTGCCAAATGAGTCAAAAAGCAAAGCGTGCCTCTGTCTTTTGAGTTCCTCAGCCCTGAAGAGTGATCAGGTTTTCTTCTCTTTTTCCTGCTCTTCGCAATGACATCCGTTGCCCTGCCCCTCACACAGAGCGGGGCTGCATTCTACGTAGCACCCCGAGCATCCTGCACCTGAGTAGATGTGAGCACGGGTGCACGTGGAACATTCGAAAGGCAGACAGATAGCGACGCCCAACGCACTTCCCTAGGGCACATCAGAGAGGATTCCAGTGTTGTGTATTTCTAAATTCCAGCTTCTTGGGAGTGGCAGACCAGGTTCACTTGCTCTTGGCACAGCTGCTGCCCCGGCGGTGCAGGGGAGGTCGGGATGCTGCCCTGGGGAGACAAAGGGACACGTTCTAGTTTTCCATACAGCTGGACAAAGCTGACGGAGCAGGAACGCGGCCACTTCTGCAGCTTCCCATCCTCCTTGCTCCTGGTTTCCGTGCCCATGTGTCGTCTTGTTTACTTGGTCATGTTTCCGACTGCCTGATCGCACAGTGACTTGAAGCCCCGTTTGGCCCTTCCTGGAGAATGTGCTTGCTCTCCTGCCTTTCCCGTGTTGTCCTGTCTCTGGTCCTCCCTTCCCCACCATGACAGTGGCCTGCCCCCAGTGCGGAGTGCCTCCCCTCCATCTCCTTAGTGCCCAGCATGCCTCTGTGGCAGGAGAGGCCACACTTCCTTGGTCCTACCATAAACGTCCTGTCTTTTATCTCCCAAGCTCACTATCTGGATAGGGTAGTTAAAGGTATGGTCTTCCTTCCTCTATTTTCCTGTTGTCTGTGTGTGTGTTTGTGTGTGCACATAAAAGAAATGTGTGTATAGCAGTGCATATACACCCAAGAGCATGAAGTCTAGATGCTAGCACATCCCCCAGCTGCGTCACAGCATTCACTGGCCAAGGCGGCCAGTTTTGGGTCCGCAGGTGGTCGATATACCTACCAGTGTCATCCTGCCCTCAGGTTGCTCAGATCTGTCCATAGCATTACCATTGTGCTGTTGTCCATCTCTCCCCTGCACCCCTTCCACCCCATCTCATGTCACCCAGCCCCTCTCATTTGACCTGTGGTCCATCAGAATTAAGATGCTGGGAACCCAGGTGGGTGTCCTGAGAGACGAAGAGACCCCAGAGCAAGCTAAGGAATGCCGAGGACTCCATTGTATTACTGCTGTGTTCATCCATCCAGCAGCCATCTCTGGAGCACGCACTGTGTACTAGGTGCAGGTGCCAGGCTCTGGAGACCAGGGGAGAAACAGACCCCTGGCTTCAGAGAGTGGACAATCCTGTTTGTTTTCTTTTTCAGAGAAGGCCTGACCTTGGTAAGTTTTACCTTTGAAGAATATCCCCTAAAGAGAAAGTCATCCCTTCCCTTTAAAACAGTTACATTGATGAGACATTGGCTAGTTTTCCAAACAGGCCCTATTGCCCTAAGAATGAGTCTCAGAGGGGTCAGACGTGGAGAAATGTCAGATATTCCTGAGGAGAAACAAGATCTCATCTTCTTATCTTCAGATGCTAACGGCACCTGTTACAAAACGTGTGCTTGGTGATGAGGGACATACACCCTGGAGTCAGAATGCCCGGGTTCAAATCCCACCTCCAACCCTTGGTGAACTGTGTGACCTTGGGCAGGTCACCCTGTGTCTGTAGTCTTTATCTATAAAATGAGGATGAGAACAGGACCACTGTGTGGATGGAATGAAAACGTGGCCCTGAAGTGCCCAGAGCATGGGCAGACACGAGGCTTGGTGAACGTGAGTCGCACTGTTTGACCCTCCTTTTCCTACTCACAGCCTCACCCTTAGTTTGGAGAACTTCACCAGCCAGATGAATATTTGCTATGGTAAAGGAAAAGGCTAAATTGGCTTTTAATACTAGATGGCAACCTCTCTTTAAAGACTGGACAGGCATTTGGGGACACATAATAGACTGGATTCTTTTCAGCTGGGACACTTGGCCAACTGTGTCAGAGGCATCACTAGGATCCCTCAGGTAGATAAGAAACAAGATTCCGCTGAGCGATCTTCAGGGTGGGCTACATTTCATAATACCACTGTCTAGTTGATAAAATTTTTTCCCTACCATGTGAACTTTTTTCACACCCCTGGGTCCTCTGGGAGTCCTGTGAATTTTTTTTAAGTGTTCAGATAAAATTAGAATCCTCTGATGGAAACTGAAGGAAGTTGAAGTTGGGGATGTTGAGTGGCTCGCCTTGGGTCACACTTCTAGCCAGGACTTCTGATTTCCTGGCCTAATTCTACCTCCTGTCATCATAAGTCATTGAGAATGCCCATAATTTCCAGTATTTTTCCTCTTCATCACATCTTCCAAACTGGCCTCCTCCCTGGGAGGCAGCCCAGATTTTCTCTCAAACCACCTGTACCAATCTTTAGTTCAGAGAATATCAACACCAGGCCCTTAGTTGCATCAGGTCAGTGAATCATTACTTACTTTAGCTAAAAGACAAATGTTTCTTGGCAAAATCTAGGTGTGAACGCAGCCCGCATCTGGCTGATAGTCTAAAAACAGAATGCAGAGACTTGCACCTTACAAGCTCGGGACTTGTTAGAGGAGAGTATGTGTTTCACAGTTCAAAGACAAGCCACCTTTTGTTCTTTGCTTTCCACTTGCATTGGTGGAGACTAAATAAACAATATTGACTCAACAAATACATTCAACTCCTTAATTGCCAACAGAAATGATCCGTGCTCTGGGAGTGCCTGTAGTCTAGCAAGGAAGCCATTAAACCATTCCCACGACATGATGGTTATGAGAGAGGAAGCCCAGGGGCCACTTAGCAAGGAGCCCCCCTGCCAATTCAGGCAAGGCTCTTGTAGATTGCTGAATTTAGCATGCAAGTATAAGGGAAGCACTGAAGGTGTCTTGAAGCACAATGACTTACCAGGATCAGGCTGGCAGTATTGGAGAAGAATAACTAACCAGAAGTATTGGGGACAAGGAAGCCGATTAGCAAACTGTTGCTGTCACCTAGGGAAGAGATACTGGTGACCCTGTCTTTGGAAGTAAATGTAGAGATGAAAAGGTACAACAGCACTCGAAAGCGAAACATCAAGAAAGGGGGTGTTGGGTACATGGCAGGTGTACTGTGGGGTCCCCTCACCACTTAACTAGAAGATCAATGCCAAATAGGCAAAGACCTGCAAGGCTCCCCAAAGCCTTCTCGTCACACCTGATGCTCTCAGCAACAGGGGCTTCTTTGCAGGCTTCAGCAAAGCACTGAAGGTAACGCAGTCCCTCGTCAGTGAAAGGGCATCATTTCTTAGAACAGTTGAGCCCTTCTCTACACCTCAAAATCACCTTGGTTTGGCTCTCGCATGTGCCTGGTGTGAGTCCTTCCAGAGGGGATTGTCACCTGGGCTCTCTGACCCATTAATGAGGTTCAGGGTTTGTGGAATGAATGAGCTTCAGTGGCGGGCCAGGATGGAGCGTGTTGCTTTAAGAAAGTCAGATGTCCCTACACGAAGCTCTTCTTGCTGCCTCCTGGGGATGTGATCGCCCCAGAAGCAAATGGCTGATGGGAGCGAACTTCATTCCACCCACAGTCCCTCTGAAACCAGTAGGACCGTGCAGATCCTCAGGGTTTATCTGGGTCACTTTGGAGAAACTGTGGATCAAGTGTCCCTGTGATCCCACATGGTGCGCTTACTCTGCCCAGGACACCTGCTCCTTCAGGTGGCCCTGTGCACTGGGTACCCTGTGCCCAGAGGTGCTCACAGGAGCAGGACATCCCAAAGGGCGCCTCACGGAGCAACAGATTACAAGGGTTATAGGAGAGAGAAAGAATTCTGAGGTCAAATTGGCAAGTTATGTTATTCCAGGGCCTCTTAGGGCCTTTAGTATGTTAACATGCAATGGGCCCCTTTAAGATAAAAACACAGGATGCAGGGTCTTCAGACTGACTGCCCTGCAGAAGCTTCTCTCGGAGGCCTCATAGGAGGGATTCACAAAGCTCGCCTGAGAAGCATTGTTTGAGATGATTATTAGACTCATTTGAAGTCCCTCCTGGAACAAAGCAGGGTATGGTAATAGAATGTAATCCTGGGCACCCCAGAATTATGACAGAGCCTGCCATCCAGTAAGTGCTGAGCGAGTAAAGTTTTGGACCTTAAGGATAGAATCGTCCAACCTGTGGTTGTTGTAGCCATCTCTATATTGGGTCAGTCATGCTGGAAGGACTTAATGACCATCTCATCCAAAGCCTTGTTTTATAAATGAGGCAGGCAGGCGGGAGGCACCGCGACTTACTCTCTGTCTCATTCACTCATCGATTCATTTCGGCACCGATGTTACACACATACATTGCATGCTTGCTACATACAGGCTGGGGATTAGGCCCCAAATTGCCCAGAAAGAGTTTGCATTTCTAATGGAGTAAAACATTAAACTAATGGCAAAGTCGATCATATAAGTGTACTTGGGACAGCATGCGAGGGAAGCGTGGGGTGTTAGGCCTGGCTGAGACCCACGCCCTGACATGTCACTGCCGCCCAGCGCCCTGCATTGCTGAGCCACGGGACCACGCCACTGGGTCACCCAGCTCTCTGTGGCAAGGCTTATGGCTATGAGGACCAGAGCTTCTGACCCAAACACTGACACAGTTTGGCCTAGCAATGGGTTATTTTCTTAAATGGTGCAAAATTAAAAGAAAGAAACCTGGTATTATTAATCACAGCCGCGAATTGTTGAGTGCCCACTTATGACACTTATTGTGATGAACAGTTGGAATATGTCATCTCATTTCATCCTCTCAGCGACTTCTTAAATTGAGACATTATCTCCATTTTACAGATGGAAAAACTGAAGCTTGGAGTTAAATGCTTTGCCAGGCTTCACAGGAGTAAATAAAATGGTGGTGTCAGGATTTGAACTCAGATCCATTCAGCTCCAGAGTCTCTTCTCTTATTACCTCATGTGGCTCTGATTAAGAATTTAGGATTAAATAGTGTGAAATTGGAAGAGCCCTGAAAATCAGAACCTGAACATTTTAACAAAGAGCTACTTACTTGAGAAATAATCCATGTAAAATACCAACCCAGTGGCCGGCCGTAGGGTCCCTCAGGGTATGGCAGTTGGCATTGCCATCGCTGTCCTAAAGCATCTAATGCAGACATTAGAAAAATCACAGTCTGTTTTTATAAATAAAGTTTTATTGGAACACAGCCATACTCACAAATCGTGTGAGCTGCTTTTGTGCTGCAGTGGCAGAGTTGAGTCCCTGCCACAGAGACCGTCTTGGCTCACAATAATCTATGCACAATCTGGACCTTTATAAAACAAGTTTGCCGGCTGTGATGTAGGTAACTGCCCCAGTTTCTTATCTGCCTTTCCTTGAGCCCTGTCTGAGACTTTGGGTACAATTTATGATATTATATGCCTTTCATCCATAGTAGAGAGAAGATGAAAATACATAGAAAATTCAGCTACTATATTTGAACTGGAAACCAGTTTTGTGCATTGTGCATATACTATGTTAATTTGACCTCCCATTCCCCTATTGTCTACATAACAAAACTGGGCTCAAAGGAATTAAATAATGCAGCTGACTCATCCAGCCACCGAGCAGTAGAGCCAGCCTTTGAGCTCGTTCCCAAGCTTGTGCTCTCAGTCAAAACCTGTTCTCTTCATCTTACCAGGGGCTGTGCATCTTACACCAAAAGAAGACAGTTTGCTGCCAGGATTAAAGATTGGACCCTACTTTCTCCAAGACTAATTCCAAATACAAAGGAGGCTTAGTTGAAAGCAAGTCCAAGCCAGATGAAAACTTTAAATGAGACTAACGGGGGATTGGAGGAAGCTGTGATAGTTTAGACCCCGAGGGTGGCTGATGTTGGCCTTCAGAATGCCTGGGGAGCCACCTGCATGTCACAGCCTCACTCCTGAAGCCTAAGTGGGCAGTTCCTTTCTTGATCACTTTTGGGGCAGGCATGCTGGTGGGTGCCCGTCTTTCCCAGGAGCCTTCCACTGTGCCAAGACTGCAGGGTCCACTTTGCTTCTCACCTACTGGAGGAATCCCTCCTAGGCTTGGTCTGCACTCTGGATAAACATTGCTTCCTTTGGATTGAAAACCCAGTGGCCAGATGGATTGATTGGTTGCTATATTGAACATCTCATGTGGAAATGGACATGTTCTTTTCTTTCCCTATGGAATTACAGTCAAGTATCAAAAGTCCTTGAAACAGTAAAGTTTTAGATTGTGATTGATCAGCCACTTAGTGAGTGACTACCTTGGGCCCTGTCTAGCATTGGATGGTTTCTTTCACATTTGTTCTCCCACTTAAGAGAAATGGGTCAATTTTTGTTATTGATGGCAGAAAATTTAGTTTGTAGCCGTATCTGTGACAGTTTGCTGCTCGTGGTAGTAGAACATATTGAACTTTTTAGCTGACAGTGTTGTCGCATCCCTCCCTTCCCCTGAGAAGTAGCAGGGGCAGGGAGGGAATGGAAGGTATACCCGTGGTGGTTCCCACAGCCCCTCAGAGAAGGGGGTTGACAGGTTTGTTCAAACGAGGACTGGAGGGAAGCCAAGTGGCAAAGAGTAAGGGATGAAATGAACCCTGTAACTTACTCTGAGATATTGCTGAGCCACAAACTCAAGGGGTTTGAAAAGGCGGTCATCAAAAACCTATAAATCTCTTTCAACACTAAGGACAACTCCCCCCACCTTAAAACACAGCCAAAGCTGAAGCAGTGCAGAGCCTAAGTGTTACCTGCATCATCTCCAGGGAGTTTGTGCATGGTCTTTAGAACACCTGCCAGTGACGCCGTGGGCATAGACCAGTGTGTCCCCTTGGCTAGACTGCGTGCCCCTGCAGGGTAGGAACTGGGTCTTACTCAGCTCTGCCCTGGCTGGGCAGGAGGTATTGCAGGAGGTATTGCAGAAATGACAGCAGAGATGCAGGAGGAACAAGGGAAAGCCGGGTGGCCCAGCCTGACCTGCCTTTGCACTCTCGAACAGCCCTGTCTCTTTCACGACAGTTACCAGGGTCCCTGTGGGTACACACTTCTTCCAAGTGTATTTGTAGACAAGGTGGTAAGAAAAAGAACCAAGCTGTCTTCCTCAGGGCAAAGACAAGTTGGAAATCAAAAAGGACAAAATAAATGAAAAGGCTAACGTCCAATCTAGTGGACCAAGGAACAAAAGTTGGAAAGAGTCCAGCCCCTGGGAGTGAGGCCCAAAAGTGCCAAGGGACAGGAAAAATAAACAGATGTTTCCTTGGTTCCAAAAAGCTGCCAGAGACAGGAGAGTGAGCAAGGAGCAAGGGTCAGGCTGAAAAGCTTTGATGGGCCTACGTCCACTGACTCCAGCTCTGGCCAGTGAAGAAGGGGTTGTGGGTTTGCACCTCCGACTGTGCCGCCTTAGCAAGTCCTTTCCCCTCTCTGAGGCTCGATTGTCCTGTCTGTAAAGTGGCAGTTCCTGCTGAGACTCGCCTCACCGGGTGGCTGTGGGCGTCCCCATGCTGATGGATGAGCTGGCACAAAGAGTGTGGACGCGTGAGGCCGCAGCTGGCCGGGCGCGAGCAGCCCTGGACTCCGTGTACTTTGTCTTGCAGAGGGCTGCCCTGGGCTGTGCAATGGTAACGGCAGATGTACCTTGGACCTGAATGGATGGCACTGCGTCTGTCAGCTAGGCTGGAGAGGAGCTGGCTGTGACACTTCCATGGAAACTGCCTGTGGCGACAGCAAAGACAACGATGGAGGTAGGGCTCTGGCACCCTTGGGCTCCAGAGGGTGGAAGATGGAGGGGGGTGGGGCACGTTGCTTCGTTAACAGGCTACCAGCTGTTCATTTGGGGCCTGCAGGGCAAGAAGAAAAAGCAAACACGTGGCCTAAGGCATGAGTGCACATTGCTAGTTGTTTCACTCTAATTCATGAAAATGAACTAACGTAAATGAAATCTGTTGCGGCCCCGCAGCCGGTAGAGAGGAGAAGGCATGTGGAGGGGCTTTTCAGCCAGTTGAGCAGTGGAACGAGCTGCCTGGCAGAGTTAGATTTGCCCCGTGCTGGAGACGGATGGGAAGCAGTCACCTGGTTCCGCATCGCAGAGGCTGCCAGGGCTGCTGCTCCCTGGGAGGGAGCCTACGTTGCCTTCCATCAAGGGTTCTTCTCCGACTCGGGTGGTAACCCTGACCAAGTTCAGCACGGGACACCTTCGCCCCCACCCACTCTCTCACTGTGAGTTTCTAATAGAATTTGCCTCTACTTTGGATTTTTTTCAAGTAGTAGACAGAGTCCAAGGAGAGCTTGTCTTACGGAAAGTTCGTTAGCTGAGCGTCTATAGGCCTGGGTTCTAATTCCAGTTTTTACATAGATCTCTGTGTTTCATTAGGCAAGCTATTTGATGTCTCTGGGCCTCACTCTCCCTGTTTATAACGTGAGGCGATCGGACCATGAGGATCCCTGGAGTCCCTACAGTAGCCATAGTGACAGCCTTCATTTTTCTGTTGTCTACATTTGGACAAATGCAGCCACAGTGGGCTCTGTTTTTCCACCTGGAAGACAGAATAATGCTTCCTGATTCTAACAGTCTCGGGAGATTATTGAGAGAATAAAAAGGTAGAGATAGGAAGAAAATCAGAACCGTTAACCAGTCCTTTCTAATCATCACCCCGCACTTGGCCCAGTCTGTGTGTGTTTATACAGCTGCCTTACATGTATACCAAGGGACCCTCTAGTGTGCTACACAGAGTGAGAAATCAGCTGGCCAGAAATTCGGCGTCTCTGTCTTTGATAATCTTCTACTTAGAGTGATTCTGAACTCTCAAAGCACCCTAAGAATTCAAAAGCCAAGTAGGGGCTGTTCTGATTCTTTCCCTCATTTGCCTCGGGTTGGCTCTAGCAGCCCAGAAAAAAGCTACTTAGGACCACTGCTTTTTGCCGGAGCCAGCCTTCATTCAATCCTTCTGCCTGCCGCCTGACTCCAGCGGGTGGGTCTGATGCACCCAGGACTGGGCCCTCCATGGAACTTATGGGCATAAGCCTTGGTAGCCAGGCAGAGGCTGGAGGCCTTGTCCTCTTCCTGCGCACGTCCTTTACTCAATCTGAAACTGTGGCGTTCGTTAATTCTCATGCTCCGTATGCATGCAGAATTCCTCGAGTGGAACCAGTTCCTGTGCGGGGCACGGAGATAAATGAGTCCTGTCCCTGTGCTCCAGGAACACAAATGGGGGAGAAAGACCCAAAGTTAAGTGCTAATGGCCTGTGTCAGTGCTGTTGGGGGAGTAGGAAAATCTTTGTCGAGAAGCTACCGCGAGTGGATGGAGCTTCCTAGAAGCGGCAATCCAGAGATCACCCTGGCCTAAGGCAGGGCAAGGAGGGGATGGGTACCAGGTGTCCTTGACGTCAGGCAAGACAAAGAGCAAGCATACTTGCTCTTCACGGGAAAGACGCATCAGCCTAAATTATGGGCCTGACTTCCTCCGCATCCCCTTTCCCCTTGCCTGTGCGCGGGCTCGGTTCCAAGGACGAACAGTAACCTTCATATAAAACAAGAGAGGGGGAGAGCAACCACGCCATGAAGTCATTCCCTTCTCAAGGGTCCAGGGCCTTGGCCAAAGCCCTTGAACAGCTGCTGAACATCTGGACAGCAAAAGAACTGAATGTCTTTGGGAAATGTGAGGAGTGCATCTCCCCCCGCCCCCCAGGCACACTCACAAGAAGAGGTTATAGAACAGGTTCATTGATTCCCTCACATGAAACACAATACCGGCATATCCTGTTTGCCATATTTCAGAGCCAGCCCCCAACACCCCCCAGTTCTGGAACTCACCGGTGTCCACATGGGGCCTGGGCACACGAGAGCCCCCTGCCCCCTGCAGCTTCGGTAGGAGAAAGAGCTCCTTGTGATAGGAAATGGGGCGATTCAGACCCTGGGGGGAACAGATCCTCCTCCAGCTGCTCCAGAGACGAGCCAGAAGGAAGGAGAAAGAAGAACCAGAAAATCCTCCCTTGTGAGAGCGTATCCTTCTTGCCTTTTGGGAGCACATTATGGCCTGAAACGAGCTTGTACATAGTTTCAAGCAAAGCTGTACGTTAGCACCATAATGCGAGTTCACCCCTCACTGGACAAATGATCCCTGACTGTGTCCACAATGCCTCAAGCCCTCCCCAGGGACCCGGGACTTCAGCGATAAATAAGCCACCATCCCTCCCCTTGTGAGTAGACGGACAGAGAGGTGCGGGAAATAGTAGTACAATGGAATAATTGCTGTGAACAAGGAATCCGCTGATACTCACTGATGGTGCCCGTGTCTGGGCATCATCCTGGGAGCTGTGAGGCGATCCTGTCCCAGGGGGCCTCCAGGCCAGCCCCGAAGATCTCTCATGGGTCATGATGCCTGGAAGTACAGTCAGCTGGGGAGGCCAGATTGCTGAGGGCCCTTGGTGTTGGGTTCTCTCAGTACAGAGGAGGGAAAGGTGCAGAGGGCCCTGCTTGTCAGTGGCACAAAGGAGACCACTCGAGGCAGCGGACTATCCCCAGGGGCCACAGGGTGCAGTCTCCACACCCTGGCCCCTTTACCCTTCTGGGCCCTGGCCAAGCAGGGACAGTTTCAGCAGAGGGAGAGCCAGGGTGGGCTGTGCAGGGAGCACGGGATGAGCTGCACTTAGGTCTGAGCTATTTTCAGTGCAGTCGGACCCACGTTTGCCGGGCCCCTGCCGTCTACGAGGCCCTGTGCTCCTTTCTGAGGGGTTAGAAGGCCCCGTCTTTCTCCCCAAGGAGTTCCCCGTCACTTGGAAGAAATTGTCATCCAGTGGCTGCATGTAATGGGGGCCGATGAAACGGAGCTTTACTCCAACCGCAACATGGGGATGCAGCATCCGCCCAGATAAATAATTCAAGATCTCGCTGGGCGGTGCTGCTGGCTGATGTGAATCAGGAGCCTGAAGAAGGAATTCATGGGGTTTAAAGCTGAGCAACAGGACTGAACGGTACATCAGAGAACCAGGACTTGAACTCCCAGCTTCCACTCCCCTGCATCCAGCGAGAGGGTGTGACATCCTCCACGTTGCACTCACACAGGAAGTCAGGGACACAGCCTGGAGTAGCCCTGAAGATTCTAGAGCCCCTGCACATGGCCTTGTGAACGGGGGGCACTGCTGCCTTCCTCTCATGAGCGCCCCTCCCCACAGAAAGGTAGCATGGTGCTGACTCAGGTTCCAGTAGGCTCAGAAGTGCCCCAAGGCCCATGCGTGTGTGACAGCAGCTTGTCTGTCACTTTACAGCCTGCAGAGCAGTGGTGCCTCCAGCCACCAGCACTGTGAGGTCATGGTATTCGTATCCCCTGACTGTATCCTTATGATGAGGAGCCAGCAGCTCAGGGAGCGTTTTGTCCAGTTGCTCCAGCTGAGTGCTATCAGAAACAGCCAGGATCTGTGAAATCTGGCCACATTGGAGCAGCTCAGGGTGCCCGGGGCCTCAGACCCATTGCTCCATCGTCAACCCCCATGGCTCTTTAAGTTATCTGACAGCGCCAAGTACCTCTTCTTTCCCGATTTGCTGGGTGTAAAGTGACCTTTCTCAACTTAAACTTGAATTTCAAGGTCCATTAAGAATCCTGTTCCCATGTTTCTAAACTGTGAGATGAAAAAAACAAAAAGATGCTTGACAATATGGCAGGGTTGGGAGTAGCTCAGCCGCTTGTTTTTGTTTTCACGTTTGGTTGTCGTCTAGATTTAAAAGCGAAACACAGTCTGGCCTGGCAGCGACCCGGTGTCTGCCAGTCCCCGATCCCCTGCAGGTGCAGGCCCCTGCATCCTGGCTTCCCCCTGGGCTCTGAGTGCTGAGGTGGACCAACGGGGCAGACCCAGGGCCCCGACTCGCCCACTCAGTGAGCTCCTTCCTCATGCCCTCGTTGAGGACGAGGGTGTGCCCTGTTCCCACCCTAACTTTGTGAAGCCCCCTAGGACATGCTGGCACGTGCGTCTTCTCATTTGAGACATGTTCCTTTCACGCCCATTTCAAAGATGGTGAACTTGTGGCTCAAAGATGCTAAGTGACTCTAAACTGGGGCTATTAAGACCACCCTGGAAGGTTGCTAGGAAGAGTGCACGCTATGCATGTAAAGTGCACAAGGAGCGACGTAACACAGTGACTGCAAGTACCGGGTCTGTGCCCACATTGTCCACGTTGACATCCCGGCTCCCTTGCTGGCTGGGTCTCTGACCTTGAGGGAGTTACTCAGCTCCTCTAAGACTTCCTCCATCTCCTGAAAATGGCAGTTTTCTCTCCTGCCCCTCTGCGCCTGCAACTCCAGGAGCAGGGCGTTTATTATGAAATAGCTATTCATCTGTTATTTTTAAATTGGAGTTATGTTCCCTTTATCATTTTTTAAAAAGTTTTTTTTATTTTTTGAGAGGTAGAGTTACAGACAGTGAAAGGAAGAGACAGAGAGAAAGGTCTTCCTTCCGTTGGTTCACTCCCTAAGTAGCTGCAATGGCTGGAGCTTGGCTGATCTGAAACCAGGAGCCAGGAGCTTCTTCCAGGTCTCCCACGCGGGTGCAGGGGCCCAAGGACTTGGGCCATCTTGTACTGCTTTCCCAGGCCATAACAGAGAGATGGATTGGAAGAGGAGCAGCTGGGTCTACAACCAGTGCCCTTATAGGGTGACAGTGCTGCAGGCAGAGGATTAACCTACTGTGCCACAGCACTGGCCCCACTATATCATTTTACATTTTCCTTTTTCTTATAATCAAGTATCTT